GAAGATGCTCAAAAATTCCTTGAAGGAAAAAAACCAAATACTGTTGCTGCTGTTGTAATTTGTTTTGTATGCGAAATTGAAAAATGTTTAACACAAGAATTAGAAATAAAAATTGCATCTGCTTGTGATGTTTCAGTTCAAAATATGAAACAAGTCTATAAATTGATGTTAGAAAAGAAAGAATTATTTGAATCAATTTTAGAAAAGGCATGAGAGTTATTATTTATTGCTTTGTTTTCTTTCTTGTCTGTTATTAAATAAATAAGAAGAACTAAAAAATAATTATTAAATACAGATATTTTTCTTTATTAACAAATAGAATTAAATTAATTCTTTTTAACATAAAGAATTTATTATTATTGTTTAAAACATAATAAAAAAAAAGAAATGAAAAACATTAAAAGAATTTTAAATTGAATTTAGTTAATGAATTGCATAACAACAATTCTCTTAACACCAAACTCAATAGGATAATTAGTATCATTTAAATAAATATCATCAATATCATTATAAACTAATGATAGTTTTCTAAAGAAAGATTCATCTTTTCCAGGTTTATAACAAGCAAAACCAAAATCACTATTACCTAACCAAGAAAGAATATCATCATTATCTCTTAATAAAATACCACACTTTACATTATCTTTAACAAAGAATTGTTTTCCAGTTTCAAATTGTTCACGTTTTAAAGAGAAAATAAAATGATTATTATCATAATTATACTCTCCAATTTTTGTTATTCCAAGAGGAGAATAATAACCAAATACATTATCTTTTTTATCTATATAAATAATTCCAATATTCTGTTTATTAAGAATGCATTTATTAAATGTTTCATTTTGTATTCCATCTTTATCTGAATCAAAAATTATAGTATGACTCTTATGTCCTGTCCATTCTTGAATATATTTTAAATTAAATGACGTTCCTGATACTTCTACAATATGTTTACAAGTTGATTTAAATATTCTTTTAGGTAAATATCCTTCAGGTAATTCTTGTTTCATTTCTCTAATTTCTTTTTTCTTTTGGATAAATGTTTGGTCATCAACTGTTCCTTCAGTTGCATCAACGATTCTTTCTACAACATAATTTAAACATTCTTTCATTTCAAGTGAATCTTCAAATTCTTTATTTAAATTTTCTTTTAAATTTTGGAAAGCTAACGCCATTTCTGTTAATTGTTTTCTTACTTCTTGCATTGCAACTTCTTTTGAATCAATTAATGTTTTAATTTCATTATACATTTGAGTTAAGTCTTCAACTGGATGATCTTTCGATACTTCTTCTTGATACTTACAAAAATCAAATTTTGTGTCTATCTCTTTAAATGTCTCTTTTTCACATTCTTCTAATGCACTATCAAATTCTTTCAATATTTCTGTTTGCTTTTTAAATGCAGTTGTTTGAATGAACTTCTCCATAATGAATAAATTTAGTTAAACAAAACTTTAAATTTATTTCTTTGTTTTTTTTTGTTCATTTAATTTCAATTAAAAGTACTATTTTATTTAAATTTCCATTCAATATTCAACTTATTTCTAGTGAACTTCAACTTTTTGAAAAAACTTTTCATTTTTAATGATATATTCCACGTATTATAAACTTCATTAAATTTTTTAATAAACAAAATTAGTAAAAAATTTTAATTAATAAACAAATCAACAATTGAATTTTCTTCATATTGAGAAATAATTATTTCAGTTTCTTCAATATACTTTATTTCTACCATACTATTTATTTCCAACACAATTTCATTGGAAGGTTCTTCTTAAAAAATTATCAAAAAAAAAAAATAAATGAATAAAATTTTTGAGATATAAAACAATATTATTATCTTTATTTTGTTTGATGTCGTTTTGAATGTTTAATTAATTGTTCTTTCTTTTTCTTTGGCATTTTATGTTTTAGTTTTTCTCTTCTTTCAATTTTATATTGCTTCTTGTGTTCTTTTCTTAATTTTTTTTCTTCTTCTTTATCAACTTTCTTTTCTTCTTTTAACTTTTTCACATACTCTTTATATTCTTCGCTGTTCATTTCATCTTCATCTTCAGAAGTATCAATACTTTCATCACTTAGTTCTTTGTTAGTTTGTTCTTCTTGTTTTTTTAATTCTTCTGCTTCTTTAGCAAGTTGTATTTCTCTAAGATCAACCAATTTCTCTGCTTCTCTCATTTCTTCTTCAAGTTGATCTTTGTATAATTCTTTTTGTTTTTTACTCATTTTTTTCATTCGTTTTCTTTGAATTTCTTCTTTTTCTGAATCAGAAGCAGAATCATCATTTACAGTAATTTGTAATGGTGCAAGTTTAACATGATTTGGAATTGCATTTGGCATAAACAAAACACCAGTCATTTTCTTTGGTTGAAAAACATCACGAATTGGTTCATTTAAATCATGTAAAGAACTTGGAATAAAAGAATTTAAAAAGACCTCATCATTTGGATCCCAATTAGTTCTGAAATGCTCTTTAATAATACTTTCAATTTTATTTTCTTTGATTGAAGCATTTGTTATAGTATAAAACAGTTCTTTAGGAGATAATGTATGTATTCCAATCTTATTAAAATATGTTGAAATATTAACACAATCCATCCTCAAAAAATCATTTGCTTGAGGATGTGATAATTCAATGGATTGTCCTACATCAATTACATATACTTTATTCTTCCACCAAAGAAGATTATATTCACTTAAATCTGCATGAACCATATTACAGTCATGATAAAGTTGATGCATCATCCATACAACTTGTCTGTATGCTTCATTTTTTTCATCATCATTTAATCCTGCATCTTTAAGTCTTGGTGCAGCACATCCATCATGACCAAGAAATTCCATAATTAAAACATTATTTTTAACTATAACAACTTTAGGAGATGGAATTCCTGCTGTATTTATTCGTTTTAAATTTCTCATTTCTTTTTCTGCCCACATTTTAACCATTTTTCTTGGATTTGATTTACAAAATCCTTTTCTATATCTATAATCTCCTGTAACATATCGTTCTCTATCTTTAAATATTAATATTGATGTTTTAAATATTTTTACTGCTAATTCAAATTCTTGTCCAAATGCATGATATACATTAGCCTCTTTACCTGTTGACACTGTACCATGTAATTCTTTTATTATTCCATTTTTAATAAATTTCGATAATACTACACGTGTACGATGATCAAGTACTTGGTCATTTGTTGCTCTGTCTGATCGGTCTTTTATTCTAGTGGATGCATCTGGAATATAATTTTCATATTGTTCCATTATGGATTATAACAGACTGATTGATTATTTTTAAGCTCATTAAAAAAGTAAAAGGGTTGTTTTCTTTAATCAAAAAAATAATTCTATTTCACACCCCAATCTCCTATAATACAATTAAAAGACTAAAGATATCAACCCTAAAATTTCTCTTTCTCTTTTGTTTTTAGAACTTTTGTTCTAAATAACAAACAAAATAGAGATGAATGAAGAAAAACCAAAGAAGGTTGTTATTGTTAATGGAGTGATTTATGACCAAAATGAAATTGAACAAACCCAATCCCAAAACATTTTACTTGAAGAGACTAATAAAATTTATTGTGGAAATTTTACAGTTAATATTTATGTATTGTATATACTAATTATGATATTGAGTATTTTATTCTTTGGTTGGGCAGGAATTAGTGTTGGGTTAGTTATATGTTTAATTTGTGGGATTTATTTTTCATAATGCAGTTTCTTTAAATGTTTTTATTCTTTTTCTTTTGGACTTTCTCTTTTAATTCCTAAAAAGAAATATGAAATCCAACTGAAATTATTTAAATGCTCCAATTCATTCAAAAACGACAGTCTTTTCAACGTTTTCATATCCCCCTTATTCCTTCTGTCTATTCATTAAGACAATTGGACACTTCAGAATTTTTGAAAGATGGAGGTGTTTTATTAGGATTTGACTTAACAGCAACTCAATTAAGTTTGTTTTTATTTCTTTATTATTTATTCAATTGAATTTTATGTTTAGTTGGTTATAATTGTTTACCATTACCATCACCAAGAAATCCATCATTAATTCATTATCATTTCAATATTATAATATCCCCCTTTTTCCCTCCATATCCTTTGCATTTCTTTTCACTCCCAATTCTTCCTTCAATCACTCATACTCCTTCTCTACCTATACAAATCATCACTTCATTAAATAGATATCTTGTTTATCATTATTCTTCTAATACTCTTCATCTAACTATACTAACACCAAATGCTCAATCTATTCCTTGTCATTTTCTTTTCCATTCTATTTCACAACCATTCTCCTTTCTTCAATCTAAAAGCACTATCACTTTAATTACTTCAACACATATTCTCACTATCTTTTTGAATGGAATATCACCAAAATATGATCAACAAGTCAATGGGAATCATAATTTACTTTCTATTGATTTAAATTCACTGAAAACAATCATAAATGTAACTAGACTACAATTTAATAACCAATCCATTCATAAAATCACTCACACAACTTCATTACCAAAACATATTATATTACCATTTGTTTGTGACTATTCTCTTTTTAATACTTTCTTGATGTTATCTTATCCATTTTAGTTTACAACAAAAATTTCATATCAAACAATATGTCTTGAGGGAAATTCAATTAAAGAATATACTCTTCTACGTTTGGTATTATTTTCTATCATTCATAAATGACATCATATTCATTTAACTAGAACAATCAAATAATATACAATCATTTTCTGAAACAAATTATAAAACATATCAAGAAGCAAAAAAGGAATGTAAATTAAAATTACTTAGACATTATCAAACTGAAAAATTAATTCATCCAAAACGTTATGAATGTGTTTTATCCAATGCATCAACATTTTCTGAAAATACTGTTTCATATCTTAAACACCAGAATGGAACGATTTTAACTTTTTAATTGAATATTTAATTTCTTTAAGTTCAATCATAAGAGAATTTAAATGAGAAGATTACAAATTAGAGTCTTACTGTTTTTATTTTAAAATTGAATCATTGGAATTACACACTTTCCAGACTCTTATCATTTCATCAGATCCAATTGTTGCAGCAATACCATGGTTGTTCATGGCAATGGACAATATCCTACCATCATGTCCATCAAATTCTCCTGTTTTATTCCAATGTTGTGTGTCATAAAAGGTAATAGTATTAAAAGGATATCCATGAGTAACCATTAATTCATCATCACACCAAACAATTCCTGTGACTTGAGAATGTGTTTTAAGTTCAGTTATCAATTGGTTAGTATTAATGTTCATTAATTTAATTGTTCTATCGGAAGAACCACCTCCTGTAGCAATTATATGTTCATTTGTAGGATCAAATTTAATTGCTTTCACTGCTGCATTATGAAAATAAGTTAAAAATGGTTTTATCATTCTTAAATCTGAAAGAATAACAGAATTGTCATTTGCACCTGTTCCAATATATGTTCCAGACCCATTAAAATCAATTCCACAAACTTCTCCTTTATGACATACTAACTCAGAACATACTATATCCTCACATCTTGTATCAAATAATTGGACTGTATTATCTCTACTTCCTGTTGCTAATGTACAACAAGTTTTAGCTAATGAATTAATTCTATCTGTATGCATTTGTCTTTCCATTATTAGTCTTTGTGTCGTTAAGTCAATTACCCGTAATACTCCAAACACATCTCCAAATATTACTGTTGTATCATCCATAAATAAAACTGATGATATATATGTATTTAACTCAATGTCATTTGAACATTTATATATTTCATTTGCTTCTCCACTTTCTGAATTCCAAATATATAACACGTCAGTCAACGCAACTAATAACTCATGTTGTGTATTCCAGTGAATGATGTTCAAATAAAAATCATCTATTACACCAGGAACATCGAGATATAAGTATGGTGTTAATGGTTCATGTCGTTTGTATTTCACCTCACTTGGTTTCTCTCCTTCAACAAAAGAATTGAGTAATGAGAGATAAGACTGACAAACACAAACCATTTATCAATACAAGTTTTTTTTTTCTATTTTCTTTTTGTATAGTTTCAGTTATTATAAAATTTATCTATCAAAAAGTCTTTTTGATTATCTCCATTCATGTCTTTTCTTGTTTTAAAATCATCTTTAGTAAATGCCATTAATTCCATTACTTTATTTCTAATGATTTGGTTCTTTAGAACTTTAGAATATCTCTCATTTATTTTAATTCTTCCAGAAATGAAATTATTTCAAAAAATAATTAGATAATAATTATTCTTATTGTTACATTACATTAAATAAAACTATTAATTATTCATTTAATATACACTTGTTTCTTTAATTATTTATCAATCAAACATGATAATCCATAAAAATATTTTGAATTTCTTTTAGATGGTATTTAAATGAAGAAATAAAAGTATTTACCAAAAGAGTTATTGCATGTTATAATCTTTTTTATTATAGAGGTGTTAGATTAGTATTTATCTGGTCATAGTATTCTTATTTAACTGTTATATTCATATCCAGTATTATTGTTCTTTCATGATATTATTTAGATAGATAATTGCTGTTGAACCATTCTTATCAAGTTTTGTGTTATTATTTTCTTTTATTTATTTTATTATATTCAGCTATTAATACAAAATGGTATTTATTTTGTATCAGAGAAATGAAGTGTTCTTTAGTCTTTCATTGATTGATTTGGTTTTATTGACTTTTAGCTTCTATTTGTGATAAAATCAAATACTATCTGAAAATGTACATCATTTTTTTGATTGATAACAACAGACAGAAATTATCTTCTCAAAATGCTTAATTATAATAGAAGGATAAGAATTGGGTTGTTTAGGATAAAACTGACTTTATCGAATTTTAGATGATAACTCTGAAAAAGTTGAAGGAAAAAGTCCAATTAAAAGTCCAATGAATTGATACTCAATGATAAACATTTAACCTTATGTTATAGAAGTATTTTAGAGTTACATCAACGAACAAAATCAGTATAATATCAACAATTTGATTATTCACAAATTTAATTTATTAGAAAAAACACTTACTCTGACTTTATGAACTAAAAGAATGAGACTAGTATCAAGAAGGATAAACTTACGTGCATAAAGATTGATAGTAACGAACAATAAGAAACTAAGTTCATAAACAAATGAGAATATACTAAAACTAATGTAAGACTAGTGTAAGGATATATACTAGAGAAAGTTGAGTGTTTTTGTTAAGCTTTACTTTCATCTACTTACCTGTTACTCATTTCAAGCAAAAAGAACAATGACATGACACATCGATTTGTGGCTCTAATACAATTCAATTACATTCAAAAATTTAGAAAATGTTATTGGCAACGTTATGAGTTGTTATTAAATGACTTAATGAAATTAGTTAAATCAAAAAAAAAATGACTCACAATTAAATGTCTTTGAGTATGTTGTTTGTTTATATAGAAGAATTAATAAAAAATGGTATCTAGTTGTTGTATAGAAATTAAGAGTTTCATAATCAGTTTTTAGACTCTATTTACGTCTAAAATATCAATAAGATTCTGATTATTTGATAGAATATTTATACTATTCTATAATATTTTTAATAATTTGATAGTTTTGAAGAGTATATAAAAAACTATACAATAAACAATTTGTGTTTCTTCAATTTCAATCAAAGTTAATTTCTATTTAATTAGACTCTTTTGTGTTTATTTTATGAAATTATATAACTAAAAGGTTATTTGTTGAAGATTTTTATTACCCAATTCATGTTATTGATAACATATTTTATATTTCGTTTATAAAAACAATGGTTTAATTCATATTAAGCTATTCAGCTATAACTATAGTATTACTTTAATACTTAATTTATTAATGACTTGTGTTTGTTTTTATATTACAGTAGTTTTGTTTAATTTTTATTTTTTTTTTGTTTCATTACCTTTCAGTTTTTCTCATCAATAAATTCAACGTTTATGCATTTTTTACTTGTTTTTCCTATTTAATTTGTATTTAATGATATGAAAATTTTTTGTTAATTTATATAAATTTCTGACTAAGAATCAACCGTTTTTGTTATTCTAGAAATAAATAATGAAACATTTTCATTCTGTATAAATGAAATTACATCAAAAGAATTGTTACATTTTGTTTATTCCTACTTTTATTTAACTGGAGTACTTATCATTTATTCATTTAAAATAATACCAGATATTGTCTTTGGGTATAACGAAGTAATTTTGTTGTTTAATAAAAAAAAGACTTTTGTAATGAAAGAGAAATTCATTTTTTGTTTGAAAAGAAAAAAAATTCTCACAAATTCCATTATTTTTAATAGAAACTAAAAAAAAATTATTGTTAAGAATTTACAAAGAATTACAAAACATATAAAATGAGCCAAACATTACTATTTTGTTTTAAGATGATAAGTTTTTATTAAATGACTTATTAGTGAAGAGAAAAGCATTTTCTGAACTGATAATGAGGAGTGTTTATTTTCTTCTCATTCTTACTAAACTATTTAAAAAGGATATTAATTAAGTTTAATTTTTCTTTTTTATTAACATTAATAAGATTTTTCGTGAATAAACATTTTTCTAAATATACTTATATTTATTATTATCTACTTGTGAAAATGATGTCGTGTTAACCAAATATATTTAATGCACAAACAAAATAAAAGAGAATAACAAATTAATATTAATTTATATTAAAACTATAAGTAATAGTGTATTAACAAAAAGAAAGAGTTAAGAAGAATAAAGAAAAGCAAAAAATAAGGGAAAAAGGAAGTAAAAAAAATGTTAAAAAAAAAGAAAACTAGAAATTTCATAATAACAATCACATGTCAACACCACCTGCAGATCTTACTTTAGAAGATATTCAACTTAATGATGGCTATGATATTGACAAAATTATGGACCATTTTAAAAAAGAAGGAAGATTAGAAAAAAAAGCAGTATCAGACATTCTTAAAAGAGCAGCCAAATTACTTGCTTCTGAGCCAAACCTTATTGAAGTTGAAGCACCTTGTGTAATTTTTGGAGACCTTCATGGACAGTTCTATGATTTAGCAAACATTTTACTTGACTATCCTCAACCAAGTGAAACACATATGTTATTCTTAGGTGATTATGTAGATAGAGGTTATTTTGGAAGTGAGAATGTTTTACTTCTTATGGCAATGAAAGTTACATACCCACAAAGAATGCATTTGTTACGAGGTAATCATGAATGTAGATTATTAACTACATACTTTAATTTTAGACAGGAGTGTTGTTTTAAATATGGAGATCATATTTATAATGAAGTTATGAAAACATTTGACTGTCTTCCAATTTGTGCATTATTACATAGTGAATTAGGTAAATTTTTCTGTGTTCATGGAGGTATTTCACCTAATCTTAATTCACTTCAAGACATTAATAAATTCAATAGATTTAGAGAACCACCAGGAGCTGGTTTATTCTGTGATTTATTATGGTCTGACCCAATTGATGAAAGTATTTATTCTAAATTAACAGATAAACAAAAAGAAGAATGGCAACATATTACCTTTACAGAAAACAAAGTTCGTGGGTGTTCTTACTGTTATGGATTTCAGGGAGTTGATGAGTTCTTAAAAAAGAATGAAATTACTTCAATTATTAGAGCTCATGAAGTTCAAAAAGAGGGATGTAACTTACATTATTTCAATAGAGATGATATTACACATCCATTGGTTATGACATTATTTACTTCACCAAATTATTGTGATGTTTATGACAATGATGGTGCTGTATTAGTGTTATTAGATAATGAATTAAGTTTCTTATCATATAACGCAGTACCACATCCATTTTGGTTACCTAAATTTCAAAATGGTATTAGTTATTCATTACCAATATTTTGTGATACACTTAATGCTGTTGCAAAGAAGGTATATGCTTTTTCATTATATTCTGATTTTGTTGATGAAGACGATGACAAACCAATTAAATTTGCAGTACAAGATGAACCACCAAAGAAAGAAATTAAAGCACCTGTTGTAATTAATAAACCAATTGAAAAACCTAAAAAAGGTATTTCAGTTGAAGACTTTTTACAACCATTAGACCTTAATTCAAATGAAAATGATAATAATTCATTTAGAAAAGCTGCTAGTAGAAGTAGGTCATTTGTAGATAGATTACCTTCTGGTATTGTCCAAAGAAAGAGGCCAGAAAATAGACCTCGATGTTGTACATTCTCTATGAAGGGACAATTTAATTCTACATTTGACAGATTCTCTTTTACAAGTTTGTTTTATATTATATTTCTTAGTATATTTCTTTAATACTCATTCTTTTTAGTTACTGCCTCTCCAAGATTTGAAGAAGCTAAAACTAAAGATGCTGAAAATGAAAAACGTCCAGCTGAACTTGAAGATTTAAAGAAACAATGGGGAATAGACGATAATTGAATATATTCAAACTCTTCTTATTGTTATTTAAAAAAAATTAATTAATTTGTTAATTGACATTTGTTAGGTGATCTACAACAATAACAAACAGCGTTCATACATGAGATAGTTAATTGTGGCTCTATATGATGTTTACTATGACATATTTCTGCACAAGATGAACATATAAATTTTACGTCACAATCAAAACAATGATAAAAAGTTTCTGTCATTCCTTTAATAAACCTATCCCTTATACACCTCTTTTGTTCTTTAACTTTTGAATTAATTTGAATATTTATGGATTCTATATTAGATTTTAATATCATAGGCAGATGATTAGATTTAATAGTTACTATAAATCTATTTTCTTCTAACAGTAAATCATTTTCAACTACTTTCTCTAAATCACATGGAACATTAACTAATTCATTTCTTTCCATTTTTGTTTCTTCATTAATAACACTCTTTATATTAATTAATTGTTTTTTTATAAATTCATTTTCTTTTGAATCTCCCTTTTGATGTAAAGTTTGTTTTAAGTCTATTTCTTTTCTTGACTCATCTATAAAACTTACTAATGAATCAAATTGATAAAATCGATAATACTCACCTTTTCTCAATATTGAACTACAATATGGACATTTCTCATTAAAATTTAATGCATCATCTAAACACTTCTTACAAAACGCATGCCCACATTTGGTAACACAACATTCACTAATATTTGAAAGACAAATAGCACATGTTATTTGAGGAATAATCTTATCAAACTCCATGATAAACTGAAAATAAAGATAATTGTTGATTATAAATTAAATAATTTAAATTATATTATAATTTTGTGTTATAAATAACATTTTTTATTGTAAAAAGTTTATGAAACAAATTATGTTTTAGGATGTCGTGAAGGAGAGTATTATAAAGTAGTTGAAAGAACATCGCCATTTGCTGTACAAGAACAATGTTCAAAAATTAAATTCGAACTTTAATTGAGTTATTGGTTTTTTTAAGAATAGAAAGAAAGAAATAAGGAGACATGCCATAAGAAAATAGTTTTTCAAATAAAGAGTCAAAAGGTCTTTAAAAATGAGTTGAAGTCAAAAAAAAACGAAAGAAAAAAGAAAGAAAATTCAAAGAATAAAATGATAGTAAAAAGATTATAAGAATATAGTTTTTTTTGAAAAGAAAGGGAAAGTGTAGTTTTATAAATTCCATCAGGGTTGTGTAGAAGAATAAAATGAGTTGAGATAATTGAGAAAGCATTAAAGGGTTTGAAAGGAGTATTTAAAGAGAAGAAAAATGGTTTAAGTTCAAACAATTGATGGATACATTAAGTTGTAATCATTCAGATAAAGTTCCATTATATAAAGAAGTTAAAGAAAAAAGTCCATTTGAAGTATTAAATCAATGGATTACATTAGAAAATAAAATTGTGATATTTAATTCAGAGCAACATGAAATGATACCACATGGATTGTGGAATAAAGTTTTTGGAAGAAAGAATATTATGTTTATAGTTATTAGTGAATATGGAGATGTTTTTGGTTCATTCCATGGAGTAGTACCAACAAAACCAGGAGAATGGGTTTGGGAAGATAATCAACAGTTTATTTTTAGTCTTAAGAATCAATATGGAATAAATCCAATTCAATTTAAACCCAAAACAATGACACATTCATTATTACGAATTTCAGGTAAAAATAATACAAAAAAAATGTTTTGGATTTCTGATGGATATAGAGTAGATGGAGATGGGAAAGGATATATCAGTGCTTCCTTTAGTAGATTTTATCATGATCATACTAAAATAGGACCAATGATATTTACTAATAATGTTTATCCAAATACTTTTTGTATACGATCATGCTTTGTGGTTCAATGGTATTAAAAGAAAGGAAAAATATAGTAAAATAGTAAATAGAATTAATTGAGATATAAGTAATTATTAATTTAATTTAAGGTCTTTAAGGATAGTTATAATAGTTTGTATTCCATTAATATAACCATCACTAATTTCATATTTGTGATTTTTATCTTTCCAATGAGCAAAATCAATCATTTTAAAGTCAATAGTTGAGAGAGGATCATCATAATCATAAAATAAGAAAAGAGATGATGAAATAATCTGATACCCTTCTTTTTCATAAATTTCTTTTAAAAGATTTAATTTAAGAAGAAGTTTATCAATCATAACATCTACAATGGAATGGTTAATTGTTGGATTAGTATGTAAGTCATTAACAATAGTATCTAAATTATTAAGAGTGAAGAGAGAAGTTGAAAATTTAAATTTTTCTTGTTTATCAATACTACCATGTGATGTTAAGAAGACTTTCATCATTTGTTTTAATGAATCATAAGTCTGCATTTGTAACATAACATATTTATCATGTTGTACAAAGATATTAGTATCTTTATTAAAAACACGCATTCCACAAAAACGAAGACCATATTGAGTAGAAGTAGTATTATTATCATAATTTTGTTTTGACTTTATTTTTTCAGGAGAAGAGTCTTCAAACCAAGTTCTACAACCCATTTTTAAATCAAGAACACAAGGATGGTTCATTCCATGAATAACGTTTTGCATTTTGAAATAAGTAAAAGAACCAAATCCAAGGTCAATATTTTCTTTACTATAATATTTAGGTAAAAATTGAGATAAAGGAGAATGTTGTACTTGTTCGTAAAAGCTAGCCTCTTGTTCAGTATTAGGTTTATACAAAAATTCACCAATGGGGACAAGTTGAGCTTTTCCTTTATGTCCACCAACTTGAAAGTCTGACATTTACGAAAAAAAAAAAAAGTTCTAACAAGAGAAAAAATGAATAACAAAAAGAGAAATTAGAGAAGAAAGATAGAAAACCAGAAAGAAAAGAAGAGTTTTGATTTGTGAAAGATAACGTCATGTGGTGGTTATAATAATAATTGACATAAAAAAAGGGTCTGAAGATGAGGCATAGGACAAGATGAAATGTGGAGAATCATATGAAAAGAGTAAAGAAGGAGAATCATAAATCGAAATAGAGAAGAACTAGAAAAAGAGGTAAAGAAAGAGGAGTGAAAAATCAAAAAAAGAATAAAAGTTCATTAAAGTTCAAAAGATATTCAAGAATTAATTCATATCGAGTGGGAAGTAAATTCGATTTGTTCTGGAGACAGATGGAACCACGCATACAAAAGAAAGAAATAGGGGAAAAGAATAAGAGGATAGATAAGAAATAAGGAAAAGAGGAAGAATAAAAGAAGAAGAGAGAAAAAAGAAGAAAAGCAAATATCGAAGATAAGAACCACGTCATAACTAAACCCTGGGAGTATTAAAAGGAAGAAGTGGAAAAAAAGATCATTCATAATAATGCAATCTGTTGACGGAAATCAAGCTGCTGCTTATGTATCATATGCACTTAGTGATGTATCATTTATTTTCCCAATTACACCATCATCACCAATGGCAGAAAATGCTGATGTATGGTCATCACAAGGAAGAAAGAATGTTTTTGGACAAGTAGTTGATGTTTATGAAATGGAAAGTGAAGCTGGAGCATCAGGAGCTGTCCATGGAGGATGTGCAGCTGGATCACTTGTATCTACTTATACATGTTCACAAGGACTTATGTTAATGATTCCAAATATGATTAAAATTGCAGGAGAACACCTTCCATGTGTTTTCCATGTAACTGCAAGAGCACTTGCAGGACAAGCACTTTCAATTTTCGGAGATCATTCAGATGTTATGGCATGTAGATCAACTGGATTCTGTTTATTATCATCACACAATGTACAACAATGTCATGATCTTGCTATTGTTGCACATCTTGCAACACTTGAAGCATCTCTTCCATTTATGCATTTCTTCGATGGATTCAGAACATCACATGAAATTCAAAAGATTCACCAATTAACATATGACCAAATTAAGAGTCTTGTTGATATGAAATATGTTGATAGAGCACATAAGAGAGGACTTAATCCAATCCACCCAAGCCAAAGAGGAACATCACAAGGACCAGATGTATTCTTCCAAGCTGTTGAAAAATCAAATGCAGATTATCTTAAAGTACCAGAAATTGTACAAAAATACATGGATAAAGTTGGAGAATTAACAGGAAGACATTATAAGATCTTTGAATATTATGGAGCTGCTGATGCTGAAAGAGTTGTTGTTGTTATGGGAGCTGCTGTACCAGTTCTTGAAGAATGTGTTGATTATCTTATGAAGAGTGGAGAAAAGGTTGGAGTTCTTTCAGTTCATTTATACAGACCATGGAGTGCTAAACACTTCCTTGAACAACTTCCAAAGACTGTTACTAAGATTTCAGTACTTGATAGAACTAAAGAAGCAGGATCATTTGGAGAACCATTATATCTTGATGTTGCAACTACACTTCTTGATGCAGGTAAACACATTAAATGTGTTGGAGGAAGATACGGACTTGGATCAAAAGAATTCACTCCAGCTATGGCTAAAGCTGTTTTTGATAATCTTAAGAATGAAGAACCAAAGAATCACTTCACTGTTGGTATTGAAGATGATGTTACACATATGTCACTTCCAATTGGAGAAAACTTCAACCCAATTCCAGAAGGAACTACCCAATGTATGTTCTGGGGACTTGGATCCGATGGAACTGTTGGAGCTAATCATGATGCTATTAGAATTATTGGACAAAATACTGATATGTATGTACAAGGATACTTCTCATATGATGCCCACAAATCAGGAGGAGTTACAGTATCACATCTTAGATTTGGACAAAAACCAATTAAATCCCAATATCTTATTCAAAATGCTGATTACACTGCATGTCATTTCCCTAATTATGTTAAGAAATATAAATTACTTGATGCAGCTAAACCAAATTCAGTCTTTGTTCTTAATTGCCCATGGACAGGAGCTGAATTAGAAGCCCAACTTCCAGGATCACTTAAGAGAGTTATTGCAGAGAAACAAATTAAATTCTATACTATTGATGCTATTAAGATTGGACAAGAAGTTAAACTTGGAAGAAGAATTAACATGATTATGCAAACTGTTTTCTTCAAACTTGCTAATGTTATTCCATTTGAAAAAGCTATTGTTCTTCTTAAAGAAGCTGTCCAAAAGACTTATGGAGCTAAAGGACCAGCTATTGTTAAAATGAATCATGATGCTATTGATAAGGCACTTGATGGACTTGTTGAAGTTAAAGTTCCAGCTGAATGGGCTAATGCACCATTAGAAACAGTTACTAAGATTGAAGCCCCAGAATTTGTTACTGATGTCCTTATGCCACAACTTGCAATGAAAGGTAATGAACTTCCAGTTTCTAAATTTGCAGCTGATGGATTTATGCCAATGGGAACAACCAAATATGAAAAGAGAGGAATTGCTACTAAGATTCCAACATGGGAAGCATCAAAATGTGTCCAATGTAATATGTGTTCACTTTATTGTCCACATGCTGCTATTAGATGCTTCTATTTAACACCAGAAGAATCAGCTAAAGCACCAGCTGAATTTGTCCAAATTGACGGAAAAGCACAACAAGCAGGATATAAATTCAGAATTCAAGTTTCAGCTATGGATTGTACTGGATGTGAAGTATGTACTACTGCATGCCCAGTCAAATGTTTGAGTATGACACCATTTGAACAAGTTTCAGAAGTTGAATCAAAGAATTGGGAATTTGCTATGACTCTTTCACCAAAGAACTCACTTTCAGATAGATCTAACATTAAGACAACTATGATTCATCAACCATATCTTGAATTCTCAGGAGCATGTGAAGGATGTAATGAAACTGCTCTTGTTAAATTAATTACACAATTATATGGAGAAAGAACAATTATTGCTAATGCTACAGGATGTTCATCAATTTGGGGAGCTACATGGGGAACCAATCCATACACTGTTGATGGAGAAGGAAGAGGACCAGCTTGGGGTAACTCATTATTCGAAGATAATGCTGAATATGGATTTGGTATGTTCAAAGCTAATGAACAAAGAAGACTTTATCTTGAACAAATTTGTAAAGAAGCTATTGCTGAAGGCAAATTAAGTAACGAACTCAAGACTCTTCTTGAAGAATGGATTGCTAAGAAAGAAGATGCCAATGAATCAGAAAAGATTTATGCAGCAGTCAAACCATTATTAGCCGCAGAAAAAGATAAATCCGAAGTACTTGGACTTATTGAACAAAATAGTGATATGTTTGTTAAGATTTCCCACTGGATTGTTGGAGGAGATGGATGGGCTTATGATATTGGATACAATGGAGTTGATCATGTTCTTGCATCAGGACATAATGTTAATATTCTTGTTCTTGATACTGAAATGTATTCAAATACTGGAGGACAAAAATCAAAGGCTACCAATCTTGGAGCTGTTGTTAAATTTGCATCCTCAGGATGTAAGAGACCAAAGAAAGATCTTGGAGCTATTGCTATGGCATATGGTGATGTTTATGTAGCATCAATTGCACTTGGAGCTAATCCAGCTCAAGCATTCAAAGCATTCAAGGAAGCTGAATCATACAATGGAGTTTCTCTTATTATTGCTTATTGCCCATGTAAAGAACAAGGAGTCCCATTACAAAAATCAATTGAAGAAGCTAAAATGGCAGTTAACAGTGGATACTGGTCATTGTATAGATATGATCCAAGATTAGTTGAACAAGGAAAACCAGGATTACAACTTGACTGTAGTGAAGTTAAAGGTGATCTCGAAGCCTTCCTTGCACGTGAAAACAGATTTGCACTTCTTGGAAGAAAGGATAAGGAAACTGCTGATAAGCTCCATGCTCAATTGAAAGCCAATATTGATAAGAAACTTGCCCATCTTAAGGTTGTTTCAAAACAAGCTTAAAATAAGTTAAATTTCTTCTTTTTCTTATTTTAATTGTTTTTTCATTTCTTTTATTGAATCTTCTTATTTTATTTACTTTTTTCTTTCTTTCATTAATGGTTTTTGTTAGATTGGATAGTTATTCATTACTTATTTGTTGCAATTACTTTCATTCTGTTAGAGACATTGTCCATCTTGTTATGGTCAATTCTAAATTCAAAGAGACTTTTTCTAAACTTCACTTCAATCCAGTTCCTCTTGACTCTCATTCATTTCCTTTCTTCTCTCATCTCCAGACATTCTGGGTCTATTCTCAAGACAACCCCTGGCTTGATTCAGATCAAATTACAAAATATCATGTTCATTACCAAATTAGTTATTCACAATACTGTGTAATTGTTAAACAACAATCAAAACCAATCGATTTTAGAAAAGTCTCATATTCTAAAGAGGATTATATCCTCTATGGTATTAACATTCCAACAATTGTTACCAAATTGGATGATTATCTTTTTAGTTTTTCACGAATTAAAACTTTCTGTATTCCAAATCATATTGTTGAAATAGGTAATGAATGTTTTTATAATTGTCGTTCACTCTCTTCTATTACTCTTTCTTCAAATCTCACTCGAATTGGAATAGGTGCTTTTGATTCTTGTTCTTGTTTAAAGTCAATTCATTTACCTCAACTTCTTTATTCTATTAACCAAAATACATTCTTTAATTGTTCTTCTTTAACTGAAATAAAATATCCTCCACATTTAAACCAAATTGATGACTATGCTTTTCTTGGTTGTGGTTTCAAATTCCTCTCTTTACCTTCAACAATAGTTAAACTTGGAGTTGGTTGTTATCACCAATGTTCTTTAACATCTCTCGTCATTCCAGAATCTATTTCTTCTATAGGAACAAAATGTTTTAATAAAAACGATCAATTACTCAATGTATTTCTTCCTGACTCTATAACAGAATTGGAAGATTCAATGTTTGAATCTTGTGAGAATTTACAATCAATTCGTGCTTCTTCAAAACTATCAAAAATTGGAAATAAATGTTTCTATAATTGTAAATCACTTCATTTTACTTCTCATTTCTTTGATCATCTGATGTGCATTGGAGATTGTTGTTGTTTTGGCTGTAAAAACATTTCATTTCTTCATTTGAGTTTTACTTGTTTATCGCATCTAGGACAAAATGCATTCTCAAATACTCCACTCCAATCTGTTGTTTTACCTTCATCACTATTTTTCCTTTCTTCTTCATTTGCTTTTTGTACTTCTCTAACAAGCATCCATTTACCATCTTCAATAAAAAATTTATCAGGCTCTTTTAATGGTTGTCTTAGTCTTAAAGAAATTACTCTTCCTCAAAGCATCACTTCTCTTGGTGAAGAGACATTTAAAAATTGTTCTCAACTTAAATCAATTCTACTACCATCTTCATTGATACAACTCCCAAATTATTGTTTCTTTGGTTGTGAAAGTCTTATTAATATTGAAATACCAGCTACAGTAACAAGATTTGGATTATACTGCTTCAAAGATTGTAAACATCTTACTCAAATACAAATACCAAAAAAATTACTTTGTATTGGTGCTCATTGTTTTGAAAATTGTATTTTCTTAGAGAGTGTTTTGTTTTATAACTCATTGGAAAGACTAGAAGATTGTTGTTTCTTGTTTTGCTTGGGACTAGAAGAAATTCATCTTCCAACTTCACTAACATATATTGGGCAAGATTCGTTTGCAAATTGTGTTCAATTAAAGAAAGTTACTGGAAAAACTGATCTGTGCTTTGCTAATCAACATTCGTTTTTTAACACACCATATTCCTCACAACTTAATCTCTAATCATAAAATATTTCTTTCACAACTTGTTATGTTTTTTTTGCTCTCTCTATCATTCTTTGTAATACCAAAGAATTGGTAATAATATCAATTCACTTTAATTCTAATACAATTTTCTTATAATATATCATTACCCATTTTCATAATACAAAAAATATAAAAATAAAACAAAAGATACAAATAATAAAAATTATCACAGAATGAAAGATTTTATCTATCATAACTCTTTGCTGTTTCTAAATTTATTCATGAATATAGAACTAATCAAATATTAACAATGTATTGGACAATTGAATATAAACAAATTTTTATCAATTTCTTCTATGCTTAAATATTAATGTTGAACTTGTGAATATCAAAATAATACAAAAAATTTAATCATAAACTTAAATTTTTAATACAATGTTTAAATAAATTCTATTTTTCTTATATTCTTCATACTCTAATGGATTTATTGATTACTTCCAAAGAGATTATAATTACAAATTATTTACAAATAATGAATAGAAATATATACCAGTAACATACTACATTCTTTAAGGAATATATAACTTATTTGTTATGGTTTTTATTATGAATGTGTTTGTTTTTTTTTTAAAATAAGAGATGATAATTCTAATGTATAGTCAATTCAAAATACTATACATTTCATTCTTAACTTATGGATAAAACTGAGAAAATACAATTATAGGAAATAAATAACATAAATCAAATATCAAAAAAAAAACTAATTGAACGTGCCTTATTATAATATTTCATTTATATATAAAATTAAATATTCTTTCTAAATTTCCTTGAGCAACTTATTTAAAATATATGTCTGTTTGTAAGTTAATATGCTATGAAAATAATTAATTGAATGAAATTGAAACTAAGATTTAACTCTTTGTTTTACAGTTTCTCTCAAACGTAAAACAAATCCCCAAGTTGTATTTTAAAGTAAAACAAAGAAGTGATAATTCCAACCAATAAGTGAATATAATCCCTACCAAAACTAATTCTAGTCAAATATATTTGACTCAATTGAATTACTACTTAGTTCAAGTTCAACAATATACTTCTCAAATTTGTAGGTTAATACCTATCCTTTCTATAGACAGTTCCGACTTTGATAAAAAAAATTAAGAGCATCTCCAATTTATTTCTTAAAGGATTATTTTTCATGTTATTTTACTTTAGACTAATATAGTTGGTATAAAAATAGAATTAAGGTGTTTTGCTAAAACAGTTGAAATTATATAACTATTGTATTGGAAGATCAATAAAACTGTGTGGTATTGACTTACCCTTTATTAAAAAACATTTACAAAAACAATGCTCTTCAAATAAAATGCTATTTGGAAGCTCAACATTTTCTAATGAAAGACATCCATCGAAACAACAATAAGGGATTAATGTAATAGATGATGGAATTGTAATACTTTTTAAAGAAACACAATCCTTAAAACTAAATTTTCCTAATCTTTTAATATGTTTTGGAATTATTAATTCATGTAGGTCTTTGTTCTCTTTGAAACAACAATCATCAATTCGTTTGACATGTTCATCATTTATGATATTTCTTCCAAATATTTTAATGTCGTCGCTTTGAAGTACAACATTAGAACATAATATTCCAATGTTCTCAAATTGTTTCATTTGTTGATAGGTCACTTCATAAGGATACTCTTTTATATTTACTCCATTAATGTTAATAAATTCAAGAGAAACACATTTACCAAATGTATCAAAACCAATTTTGATATTATTATTAATGTTAACTTCTTTTAAATTAGTACATCCATAGAATGCACCATCTTCGAGTATTTTTATATTAGATGGAATAGATAAAGATGTTAATGACTCACACCATTTAAAAGCAAACATTCCAATTGACGTACATTGGTTTGGAATATTAATCTGGCTTAGTGAATAGCATCTAAAGAAACAACAATTAGGTATTTCTTTAATCTCATCACTTAATTCAACTGTTCTTAAATAAAAGAATGAGTGAAATTCAAATGGATTAATAGGGTGGTTGATCTGTAATGATTTGTAAGAGTGAAGGTTGTCTTTAAAAACTGAAATTTCTTCTTCATTTATTGTAAGCCTTCTTCCATATATTAACTCATCATTTTCATTCCATTTAATATTTGAAAGAAGAACTCCTCGTGCTCTCATTCTAAGAGAAGAATCATAACTAACAACCATATCATCTAAACTTCCATCAATAAGATTAACCCTTTCTAAAGAAGTCATAGAATCTAAAATCCATTGTGATGATGAGATAGTATTCTTATACAAAGATAATTCCTTTAAATTACGAAGAGTGGATAAGCAATAAGGTACAAATGATGTCACAGTAGATGGGACTGTTAATGAGGTTAGTTGATTATTAAGGAATGAGATATTATTGAAATAAATCACATTTGGAGGTATTTCATTTAATTGAAGGGAAGGAAGGAAGCCATAAATTAAAACAGAACAATTATTAGGTAGTTGTGTTAATGAAGATTCTTTAGAACCTAATACAACCTTATTTGTTTTAATATTATTTTTAATATATCTCGTATATTCTTCATAAGTTATTTCATTTTCTATTACAAAATCTTTATTTTCAAAAGTAATTTGTTTTAAGGATTGACAATCTTCTAATACATATGAACCATAACTTTGAACAGAAGATGGAATAAATAAAGACTCCAATAATTTACATGAATAGAATGAATGATCTTCTATTCTAGTTACTGAGTTAGGAATATGTATTTCTTTAATAGAATAATAAGAAAAAGAATCTTTATGAATGACTTTTAAAGTTGATGGCAATACTATTCTAGTAACATTTTTAATATCTAAAATACTTATTAACCTATCATCTGATAAAGAAGAAAGTACTAACTCTTTAATATTAATATTATCAAATAAATACTCTGCTTGAAAAGAAGTAATTGATGAAGAAAGATAAAAAGAAGTAATATTTGTTGGTATGTCTATTCTTAATTCTTCAATTTTCTCAGTGTTATTATCAAATATTATTGAATTAGTATTTTGATTGAAATGGAATGAATGTATTTTTGCCTTAGATAAAATATGATTATTCTTAAGAACATCATTTTCATGATCATTAGTTGCTGACGGGTAAATATTATTGATCAGTGGAAGTTTTAACTGAACTAATGAATCACATCCATCAAATAAATGTTCTTCTATATAACATTGGTCATTATGTATAACTAATCTAGTAAGGTTAAGACAATTACTAAATGCCCCCTCCCCTATATAATTAACACTTGATGGAATGTCAATTTGTTTTAATGCATTACACCAACTAAATGCTCTCGTTCCAATTTCTTTTAAAGAAGTTACCAAATTTATTTTTGAAAGACGCATACAATTAAAGAAAGACTTATTTCCAATACGTTCTAATGAAGTATCAAATTCCACTGAAATTAAATTATTACATCTTGAGAAACAATCATTAGGAATTACTTTTTGTCCATAAAGAATAACAGAAGTTAATGACTCACAAGAACAAAAACAATTCTCTCCCCAATGAATTACAGAATTAGGAATAACTATCTCACTAATACTATCACAGTTTTCAAAACAATTATTCCCTATTTGAGTTATGGATGATGGTATATGAATTGTTTTTAAAGCTCTACAATCACCAAATAAATTCTCTGGTAATACCTTAATATTAGTTGATAATGAAATATTACATAAACTAGTACATTCATAGAAAATGCTATCACCAAGAACTTCAACAGAATTAGGAATTATTAATTCTTTAAGGTTTGAACAAAGACGAAATGCACATCTTCTAATTTCTGTTAGAGAGGAAGGGAGATTAATTGTTTCAAAATCACAACTTTCAAAAGCATAATCATCAATGATATGAATACAATCTGGAAGTTGATTTCCAATTTCTTCATGATCATGAGAAGTAAATTTAATACGTTTCCATACAACTCCAAAATTTTGTTTTTTGAGAAAAGTATGATAATCAATACAAAAATCAATAACATAATTTTGAATATCATTAAGAATAAAATCATATTTAGAAAATACGTGTTGTGTTTGAATACATTGGAATAATTTTCTTGAAGATCTAGTTACTTGTATTGTATTAGTTCGTAAACGGTCTAATACTTCTTTAAATTTAGAATTTACTAAAACAACATTAATAAAATCTTCTTCTTTCTTAAGATATTTTAAAATAATTTGCATTGAATAGACATCAATTTTCTTCATGATTGAATTGATCTTTAAAGTTTTTTGTCTAATTTTTTCTTCAATCTAAAAATTAAAAATTTCCATACCTTCTTTTTCTTTTTCTTCTTTTTAAATTCTTTTTTTCTACTACCTCTATCATTTAATCATTCTTCTTATTATTAAAATTTACAGATAAAAAAACCAAATTAGATAACAATATCATTTTGATATGAATAGTAAAATAAAAAAATAAAATGAAATGAAAAAAAAAAATAATCTTTTTGATTAATAAAAACATTCAATCTAAATAACAAATATAATTAATGAAAAATTAAAAATTAATAAAAAAATAATATTTTTAAGTTTATTGCAATGCAATCAAAAGATGCTCGTTCCTCTGTAACTTCAATTCCTAGAGAGTCTCTTTCTCCTATTTCTCATCGAAAATCATCTATTTCAGTTATTCAACCTATCCCTAATGATTCTTTTGTTCTTCCACCCCTCACCTCATCTCTCAGTTCACAAGAAAATCAAGCTCATACCAACACAACCCCATCACCTAATGACGAAATTTCTTTATCAGAAAACCCTTACCTTTTATTAACTGCTAATGGTGATATTATTCCAAGTCCAACAAATCACCAGTAATTTGTATTTTAAATATGTTCTTTGGCTTATACATTTCTTTTTTACGAAAATATTCTCTTTATATATTTCTTTGATTCAAAATAAAAAAAATATATATTCAAAAACATCTCAATTTTCTCTTTAAAGTAGTAAACATCCTTTTTTCTTTTCTTTCTTAGCTT